GTCACTCGGGCACTGACGCGCGTTGACTCGTTTCGGCTCCTCGACTTGACGTGAAAGCCAATCATTCTTATAACGTAATTACCTTTTTACGTCTTTTTACGCAATAACAACAAAATTGTATGACCATACTTTCTTCTGTTAATATACTTGCTTTTGTATTACATACAAATCCACACACAGCGTCGGAAACGTCGGAAGTCGGATAAATTTTGGTATGGTTGCGTTACCCAAATTCATAAATTACCTGCGAATTAAAAATCCAAAAATAACACTTCCGCATTAAGTACGTTTCTTTTAAGTACGATCATTCTAAGCCTCCCATTTCAGAAATTGCGTTGGTGCGGGAAGAACCCGGGTGACTCGTGGCACCAGGACGCCAGCTTCTGATACGACGTGGACGAATTGACGAGAGCCATGAATCGAGCGTAAGATGCCAACGCACCCGGTAAGCGACATATAGCTAGTATTTCCGGTTTCTTGGTCGCTTAGCTTGACCGTTGAATGATTGTGTGTAGCGAAGAATCGCCAGCGACTGACGAAGCTGCGAGATCTGTACACGGCTCTAGGTATCGAAGGTGACGACGACAGCAGCGATGATAGCAAGGACCAAGACGCTTCCGCTGGCGAGGATGAAGATTACGAAGAGGGGGGCCATTCGCGATCCGGATCCGATGGGGGCGACCTGACTACTACCGGTAATGGCCTATACTATTAATTATGCGTTGTTTGCTTGTTATTTATAAATATTTGTGTGTGCTGTTTAATATGCAGCGCTTAAGCAGCACAAGAAGGGCGTCAAGACAAAGCAGAAGGGCGCGGCAAAGGCAACATCATGTAAGGTTTCTTTATGGCTTATGTGGTTGCTGTAAGAATAGCAGAATTTTGCTAATGGTTGCTATTGATAGGTGACAAGTTTGAGGCCACGCTGAGCCGGGTATTAATGTATTTGCCATTGAAGTTCCGACCGCTGAAGAAACAGAAAACAGTTCCACGTTCGGATCATTCGGATAATGACGAGCGTGAGGAGTCCCGATCTGCCGGCCAATCAGGGTCTTTAGGCGAGTACACGCCTAGGGTTCGAAGAAGCAAACATCTTGAAGAGATCGACTCGATGAACAACGACGGGGACAAAATTGTAAACGTAGTCCCTCCGTTCGCACCAAAGACAACAATTTCGTCGTGGCGTGATTTCGAAAAGCAGTTCACGGAGTACATGGAGAAGAATAATTTAAAGTTTCGCGTGCGGAGTTCAGAAAGAACGGAATCATACAACAAGTATGAGTGTTAATATGTTATTATCTGTATAAAAGTATTGACGGAGCTCCGCTGTGTTTTTATTTGGTTTTAGAACGCACCAAGACCAAATACCTGTCACATTCGAGTACTCGCAAAGGATCTATCGGTGCACTCACGGTGTTTCCCAAAAATCGAGGTCCAAGGGGCATCTCAATCGCAAGCAGCGGTACTGCAAATGCTCGGCGCGACTAACGGTAATTGTTTGTCGCGTTTTGGGCAACCACTACGAAATTGTGCTTCGGAACCAGGTTTGGTCACTAATGTTATGATTATTATTATGTCTATGTAATTACGATGCTAATATCTATTAACTTCTGCTGTTTCAGAACCATACCCACTCACATTCCAACAGCGAAACCCAAGCTTCGAGTTACTTGACAACAGCTACGCTGCCACTCGACAATCAAAATCTTGAGGGTGTGAAGACATTGACT